TCGGAACGCTACAATGGCATCTTCAACATGCCCAACTTCCTTCGTAAAATAGCTACATTGTTAAGCGCTGAACGTGGTTCGGATCAATTTCGAGAACCTCAAGTAAAGCTGAGAAGCTTCAACAGGATCAGTGGTGATGACCGCTAGGTTATAAAGGGCCGGGCAACAGTTCGGATCGGCTTCAACAGCATTCAAGAGAGTCTTTCGAGCCACCACAGGATCGGGAATACACAAAGCCTGGTCAGTCAAACAAAGTGCCGTGAGCTCAGCGAAGCGATGCTGATATCGGGATGACAGTATATGGTCCGCAGCGAGGGCCTCTCTAATAATCGTCAATGCCTCTATATAACGACAGGTAGCATGGTAGTGCCGGGCTAGGTAGTATGAGGCGAGGGGACTTTTGCCCTTCTGATGGAGGGCGACCAAAGGACCAACAAACTCATCAGCGTTGATCGGCTCGATCGCTAGCTGAGTCAGATAGCGAGCTATAACCACCAGGTCTGGCCAGGGATGCGGTACTCGATCGAGAACAGCTAGGGCTTCCGTGAAGGCTTTACGAGAGTAGTGAAAACAGGCGGATTTCTGACAAATGAAACAATCAAAAAAGGCGGAGCGAAGCTGATAACTCACTAGTGCTGAAGCTGTTGACTCAGTAGATAGGGCAGAGATGTCTACATCGGACTCTGAGAATATTGCATCGAATTGGTCTCCACCGGTGAATGAAGAAAACATAAAACAGGAATGCCACAACTAACAAAAACCGTCGGCTGTTGTCGCTATTCAGGGGAAGGGAGGGAATGCTTTCCTTTTACGGTACGACTTCCGAAACCGTGAGCGTCCTCCACCACTTACGCCCCGTAACTGCATGTATGCCCATCCTATGAGAACTCATGAGCTGGACAAGGAATTTTGACTTCCGTAACTACGAGAAGATCTCAGAGATGAAGCAACGTAGACTGCTCATGTGCCCATCCTCTATAGCTAGCGTCAAGCAATGAGAATAAATCACTACAACTCGACAGGGTAAGTATACGTATAAGATATAATGGAGTGTTACGACGCACATCGACGTAGCCGTCGAGTTTATATCCGTGTGAACCATGTAGAAGATCAAAATGTTCATGAAACTTTCCTGGCGAATGCTGGCAACTCTCTGAGTAAAGTTGAGGAATAAGACTAACGAGGACCTCCTTGTTAGATCACAAATGCGCCCCAATGATGTTAAATATATATCCTATTATACTACTTGCCTACGTATCCCATAAATATACCCCGCTGAGGTTGTTTGAAGTAGATATAGCGTGTTAGTTTGCCCCTTGTTCCTCCAGCGCACAGCGAACACAGTCTGGTGACCAGTCCAATTACTACTACATTATAATGAACTCTGAAAAGGATAGATACCCGAGTACAGATACATTCTCTCAGGAGATACTCTTCTTCACTAGACAAGCTTGCATTCGAAAGGAACCGCCGCCTGAAAGTGACACTGTAGTGTTGATGAAGTCTGTGTTAGATCCGCCATGGCGATCGGAACTGCTTACAGCGACCGCATATGGAGAAAAAAAACGCAAGAAAAATAGGGCTGAGCCGAGAATCGAACTCGGGGCCTCTCGCACCCAAAGCGAGAATCATACCACTAGACCACACAGCCGATATTCACCACAAACTACCAAAACGCTGTGTCCAATACTGTGCATACAATATGATACCAAAACCATCTTAAATTCTTCCAGCAAAACCACCGATCACATACAATACTCAACGACTTGGGCTCCCTCAATATATCAAAATTACGGACCAGCTGATCGACAGAAACCATAGGGTGCGAAGGAGAATTCAATAATACATGATAAGTTTAGACATCATTGAGCACGCCACGAAGTTCCCCACAACAGTATTACTCGTCGAATTCCCTAATTCCTTCGATTCACCATACTTCTGCTCCTCAGTCGTAGTGCTGCACTTCCGACGACATGACGTACAGGCAATCACCGTAGTAGACGAGATACCAACCCAAGATCGCTGTACTAATACTGGGCCCAACCGCTGGAGTATAATCAACCCTCGAGACGACAACATTAGAGCTTCACCCATGATATGAAGAAAAAAACACTAATGAGAAACACAAGCTTCATCTTGCTTCCCGAAAAAAACACATGTGAGCAGCGAATGACGTGATGTTGAATACGTGATGTGTTTTACGTGATATGGGGTGAGTTGTCCGGGGTGTAATTCACAGAGTGCTTTTCTAATTCACTTCATATCGCGAATAACGCGTTTTTCACATAGAGTATCACCTTAAACGGGTGAAACTCCGTCGAGCCACAACTACGAATAATATGAAGTATGATACTTTTAGGACTCTGCCGTTTCATAACACACTGTCATACTGCAGGCTCAGACAGCAGTGACTGAGCCTGCAGCTAAACCTCTATACTGGCTATTACTCGCCTGGTTGAAGGGGTGCTGCGCAAGAAGAGGATTAATAATATCAGCAAATATAATTTGGTTTATTATTCATAAAAAATAATATAATTAACGGAATAAAGTAAAAAATATATATTCGATTTCCACTCTAGTGATATGAAAAATATATTTCACGACTACTGCATATCACCGCGAATAAAATCGCGTTTTACACCACTTCACGTAAAACGGGTAGTCGTGAAACTCCACTCTCCTACGAGGAGATGTGGTAACCGCTGAGGCTAACACTAGCACTATAGATATGCTGGAGGAACAATCATCGTAACCGTATATAGCTAATGCAAAGACGTACTGCGCGCGCCACAATAATCTATGCACCGCAATACATGAAATATCATTGACTTCATAAGAGAGATTCCATACTAAAAAACTACCACCTATCTGAGGACTATAAAATACTAGAAAACTACAATATCAAAGTAAACGAAGAAACTTGAACCAATTCACACACGAACCAGATGCGCTTCTCCACATTGCTTCTGTTCCTCATCGTCCTTCTCACGGGATTTCTTCCCCGCCTTTTTTCGTTTATTTTTCGACTTTTGCTTCTTCTTCTTTTCAGCCCATTTATCTTCACCCGTTGAGGAGAAGCATTCACGAACCTAGACGAGGTCCTGGGTTCAATTCCCGGGTCCGGCACTTACTTCAGCCAGAGTCCGTAGTCGTTCATCGTCTTCCCATAGGACTGCATTATAGTGCTCTCCATCATGATAAGACAGCAGAATACACTGAGTGGTCTCTGCGTCCACTTCCTTGTATTTGATCTCATAGTGAACCTATAGTGTGTTCGATTTTGATAGTCCAACCGGAGAAAAGTGCATATCATTTCCAATACGCATAATTTCACAAACAAACTTTCACATAATAAGGCTGATTAGATTTGAGAACTAAATAAATAGCCGATAGCTCTATATCGATCACCGTTTCACTTGTGGGGAGGGGTAGGAGTGATAGACCCACCTGTTTGGAGTATGAAAATCGAACACACTGTAGCATATACATACGTTCATTGTGCCATGTTCACAGAACAACGACTATGTTGATAATTATAAACGAAGAGATAAAATTGAGGAAAAAAGAACTGCATTAGTAAACGTGAAATAAACTTCCTTACACATGATCCCGTAACAAACCTATGATATGGAATATGAAGACCTCCCAGAGGGACAATAATGGTACTAATAGTTATGAACAATGGCTAAATTAGAGTATAACAAATAGGATTTAATTAATCATAAAACAACAAATATCTATCATCATTGAAATGCCGAATAAATACCATTCGCGAGACGGGAAAAAAAATCAATTCGCACAGCGCACCAAAACCGTGCACACATTGTGTATGTTTTTTCCAAGAATATCACAAGTTACGAACTAACCGAATTCCTACTATGGCGAAGATTCGGTCCATGATACGAACCTCTCATGAAACGACAATCACCTCCTCGACAGTGGAGTTTCACCACCCGTTTTACGTGAAGTGGCGTAATACTCAGTGAAAAAACGCGATTTTATTCGCGACGATATGCAGTAGAGTTTTTCATATCAATAGGGTGATGAAACTCCATCCTTACTCACCCGTTGAGCACGTAAAACTAATGCAGTAACACCGTAAGCACCACAGAGAGCCGTGAGCTCCACCTGAACAGACGATCGGAATCGACAACTGCTTCTGGTTGTTGACAACAGTGTGGGGGGAAACATACACATGATCAACTACGTGTGTTGGTACTAACATGAAAACGCTGATAGTATGATTTTTGGGAATCCTTATTGGCTTTTTTTCTACACTCCTACCTGAACTCGTAGAAATGAGAATACCTACTCAGAATTTCCTTCCAGAATTTTCATTTTATCATCGACACATGTGGTTGACCATGAGCATATTTTCCCACACTGCTTGTTGTTGTTATTGTTGTTGTTGTTGTTGTTGTTGATGTTTTTGTTGTTGATGTTGTTGCTATTAATCTCACCTGGCCGCCCCACGTGGTCGGCTGCCGCATATTTGCTACATATTCCTCATAATCGTCGAAACCTTCCTCCGTTAAATCGACGAAATCCTGAAAACTGGAAACACCTAGGAGAGACATTTAGAGTGGTTAACAGGAGTTTCACGACTACCCGTTTAACGTGAAGTGGTGTAATACTGCATGTAAAATTAAGGCGTGTATGCTTGTTTGCGAAGTGAATTGTAAAATATCTTTTTCACTAGTGGTTTGCATATCACTAGGGTGATTTTTTAATAATTGTTACTCAATTAGTTTTACGCGTTATTCACGAAGTGAAATGTGAAATGTGTTTTTCACTAGTGTGTTTTTCATATCACTAGGGTGGTGAAACCTCCACTGTACTCACACATCTTGGTGATCTCGTAGCCAATCGCAACATTCTTGTCGAAACTCATCGTGATAAGTTTCAACTCCCTTTAACTCAACAGCGAAGCTCCTAAAGAGGCAATTGCCATCTGGTAGCACCTGGGAAAAAGGGAAATAAGGATTGCTTCGCTCCGCTAAGAATTCAATTCAAACGAATGAGCTCTTTCACAAGCACGAGGAAACCTCAGGAAGGCCAAATGAACACTCACGAGGTTAACGTATGAACTGATTACTATACATCTTAGAAATGTAATAAATGTAATATTACACGTATTAGCCCTAAAAATGATATCGATTTATACGCTATTCATGAAAAATGACCAGGGTCATATATGTTGGTGTAACTACCACTTATATACATAGTTTCACCACAAATTGAGATATCGTAGACATCGAATGAATATACGCTCACGAAGAATCCTAAGAATAGTTTTACTACTATAATGGAGGTCATATTCTAGAAGTGAATAGAAGTGAGTACACTCACTTCTTGAAGTGATTAGAAAATCATCATTAAAACCTTGTTTTGGACCCACCGACCTCATGAATTTGAAGTCCCCGTGTACGCAGCATCGCTCGAGCCTGTTCCAGATCTTCTGATGAGGAGGTCCTATCATGCTTAGAAGAGCCTGCTTTCTTCTTCCCTTTTGCCATCTCAATGAGGGGGTGGGACCTATATCATTTTTCTAAGGAGAGTGTAAGAATCCTAAGGAAACGTTCTCGCTCGCCCTCTGCGTTTTTCTAAGGGAGGTTCGGCACTTTCTAAGGAAGTTCCGTTTTTTTCCTAAGGAAACCTCTCAGCTCTCACACAGTCACGTGTTCACGGAGGTTACGCTCTTGCCTTGCGATTGGCGTTTTTTTCTGAGGCCTTGGATAACAGTCTTAACCCGGATATCAGCTCTTACCCGGATAACATCCTTAACCCGGATATCAGCTCTTACCCGGATGACGGTTTTAATCAGGAGTTTCCCTCCTGTAACCTTTCCCAGTTGTAGCCTGGCTCCCGGCCTCAAAGTTAATTCTTGTTGCTGAGTGCTTGCAGGGGAACTTTCTCCGCCAAGGTTATTTTGGCGGTTCGAAGGGGGTGGTGGAATGCGAATATGAAGATACCGTTGAGAAATTATAAGTGCGCAAGACTCGAGCGAATTTGGGATTTCCGAAATGTTGGAGACAGGTATTGAACTTCCGCATATTCCTATCTATCGAATGTCGCCAGTTAGGTGATTCCATTCCACCATTCCACCTTTGAAGATGATTGCGAGATAGTTTGAGTACCCCTTCTTTTGGAGGCTCTCTGGAGCGGTTTTTGCAACTTTGGTTGTCATTTTTAATAGTATTATTGAGGGGTGGAGCTCCCCGGCTGCGGCAGGCCAGAGTTGTTTACTATTCCCAGTTATTCTGAGAAACTGTAGTTCAACCACATCTTTTTGTATGGCAATTCCCGTGGAAAATTTCAAGCAACAACGATCAACGCGAACAATGGATTTCGACAGAACTAAGTAAGTTCCCTATCCTTTTGAAAATCATCCGACGTGTTCCTAAACGGCACTAACGAGTGTAAAACTGTATTTTGGGAGAAGTTCATTTTCGGCCGATTCAGAGCTTCCAGCACCCTACTGATGCGCCTCCAACACGAGTGGGTCAGATTTTGCTCCGTTATAGTAGACAAGGCATGGTGAGCTGTGGGGTGTTGTTTCCAACGTGTAGGGGTTGATATCAGGTTCTCGGCAACTACGACTATTCTCACCTTATACGCCTTGTTTGGTGATGACATTCGTATGGCGTGTTTCGACCAAGATGCTGATTCGTGAGTGACAGCTTCATGTTGCCAACTGGGAATTGGAGGAATATATACGTTCACACCTTTCCTCAACTGAGCTCGGGAGTTTACAACGATTTTTAAATAGGAAAGATGAACAGGGTGAATCAAGAAAAATTCCCCAAAAAATTTGCTAAGAAATTCCAACATATGTGGTTGGCAATGTGCATATCCCCTCCCCCCCACACTGCTGGCATAACAAGTTGTTGTTGATTTTATTCATTTTCAGAACCTTCAACGCGATAACAATCGCTTGTCTAGTGGTATTTGGCATCGAGATAATACTACAGTCCTTCGGCAAGCAGACTACTTTGGGGGATCTTCTTCCTCTTGGACGTCTTGCCACAGGATCACTTGTGCTGGATGTGAGTCACACTGTATATGTGAAGTGGTGCAAAACGCGATTCTATTCGCGGTGATATGCAGTAGTCGTGGAATAATTTTTTTCACTAGTGTTTTCGTATCACGTTTAGCTCACCTACGTAGCTGAGGATCTCTTCGGTGACGACTCGGGAACCGCCGGACAAGGTAAATATGAATTTAGTGACACTCCTGTATGCTTATACGTTTAGGTGATGCCGCGAGGGCCGGTCGAATGTCCAGAGCGGGCACTCGGGCCGGCAGAATCGTTCGAATCATCCGCCTTATTCGTCTTATTCGAATTGCGAAGATGTAACGAAGTCATTTATACTGAGAAAGTTGATGAACCTCCGTATTAGGTACAAGGCCTTCGTGGATGCTCAGCAAAGAGAAGCACGTGTGAAGAATAGACAAAAACAGGAAGAGCTCGCTTTAGAATATGTGGAGGAAGAAGAGGAGGAAGAGGAGGAAGAGGAGGAAGAGGAGGGAGAAAGTTTCACCTCGGACGACCAATCGGAAGTGGGCTCAATTTGGGCCTGTTTTGAATCTTTATTGGTCAACCTTAGATATCCGAAGATTTCCTGGACGACGATCTTGACTTGATCAGCGGTGTAGATGAGGAAATTGTCGAGCCGGAGTCGCGAGTTGGAAAGAAGCTGACCGAGAAGACAACACAAAAGCTCATCGTAGCCTCGCCCTTGTTGTTATCACCCTACCAATTTAGCATAGACTTCTCAGTTGTCTTACTCTCGTGTGGTTCTATGGACATGTTCATTTGCAAACAGTAGATATGCTTACTCCTATGGAGAGCATTACACTTATCATCATTTCACCCACTCACTGTGACTCGCTAGATCGATTCTAGTAGGAGGGTCACCTTAGTCTTTTTTAGAGGTTTTCAAATTAGTTATATAAAGTGTTAGAGGATCTATCCTGTGGATCAGGATTCTCTGAATCTAAATGTAAAGAGGATATACCTTTTTTATATCAATGGAGTTTCACGACTACCCGTTTACGTGAAGTGGCGTAAAACTCGGATATGCAGTAGTCGTGAAATATACTTTCACTGGTGTTTTTCATATCATTAGGGTGGTGAACCTCCAATGTTGGCAGATCCTGATCCTCCTCATGCTGTTCATGATACCAGTGTTCACCATCACGAACATTGTACCTAATTCGGCGCAGTATGGAGTGGATTCATTATACACCTCTTATATAGAGTAGGTTTCCATCTCGTCGTCTTATATGGTGTGATGGTAGAATCTCTCGTTTCCACGCTGGAGGTATCCGGTTCGATTCGTCCGTGGGGCATTTTTATTTATCGTCCTATCTAGATACGTCCACGAATGCCTCACTAGTGGCCAGCACAGCATCGACACCCTCGCACGGCGCTCCTCATATACTGATAAGCTCCTGCACTTCCTCTACGCTCACAACGGGGACACTAGGGACAGCGATTGTAACGCTGCTCGTGCTCGCTAATTGAATCCCTTCCTCGTCAGGTCCAGGCGGCGATGTGATGTGCGTGGCTTCATATGTAAGCCATCTTGCATGGATCGGGTGGGTTCAGGTTGGGTCTAACTTGTCATTTCAAATCATATATCTTTGTTTTCCTCAGCTGAGCTCAGAAGTTTCCTCACTAATTATAGGAGTTTATACTCCCATATTTCGGGTGGAAATATTCGGAAACCAATGAGAATTGCTCACAGCTCTGATGTTGTCATCACCAACTGTGGTGGAGCCATTGAATTCGAGACAGCATGAGACCTTCATCCACGTCGGCTGAAGTGAACGCAGGCCGTTAGCTATATTGGTGAATCGATCAACTTTGTCTACTGCGCACCACAATCATGCAGTTTCGAATTCAATACTTCCAACACATGTGGTTAATAATGTGCTGTTCCGAATAGATACTACACTGAAGGGACGCATCCCTGCTGGACGAACCCTTTCCTCGACGACTTATCGCTCTCGGACATTCGCATTGAGTGAGTAGAGCTTCGCCGCCGTCGTGTATCTAGGTAAGAGTGGTTTTGTAGATACGACGAAGCATATAATGGTGATGGTTTTCTGGTCTACTCGGGTGACCTCAGTGACTTAGCGGTGGAAGCACTTATTAACCCGTGGGACGCCTGTGGCGGCGATCCTGCTGTCCCGATTGGGGTGAGTTGGTGATTGTAGAATTGCTTTTGAAGTCACTTATCCACTTCGAAGTACACACGATAATACAAATTGCCAACTCGATAGGAGCTCTTAAGGGGTTATCAGATAATAGTAAAAATACGAATATCATAATAATACGAAAAATTATACCACAACGTTGGCATAATTTTTCGTGAGGTGTCTTTACTCCGCATCCCTGCAGTTTGACGGCGGGGGGAAAAATATGCACATGGTCAACAACACGTGTTAGTGATGACAATATGAAAATTTTTAGGCCGTTTTTATTGGCTTCTGTACACTTCTACCCTAATTCGTATAGTAGTTGGGCAAACTCCTGCCTCAGCTGAGGAAAGTGAACATATATATTTCAACATTGCCCCACTGTATGGCGTCAACACTTGAAATGAGTTTCGAAGTATTCCTTGTACACTTTACCAATCGAGATTGACATTTCATCTGCCAAGTGCATCACGGTTTAATTCGATTTTACTATTTTTTCATCAGAAATATCAGCGTCCCTCAGGTACGAGGAGTTTCGTTAATTGCCGACATAGCATGTCCAGGGGATCTTCGCTTTAATGAGCGCACTGCAGTTCTACCATTGTTACGCAAGCCGACAGATCCGGAGAATTTCAATACTTATTTTATAGTAATTTCTGCAAATATTCCGCGACGACGCTGTACCACGCCTTTCCCAGTTCGTCATGGACGAGCGTGCGAAGGCGTATTGGGCTGCTGTTTTGAATATGTTCCAAACCGTCTTCATTTGTCTAGTCCTGGGAACAGGGGCGATATTCTTTTCGAGAGATGCCAATGTGAGCGCTTCACACTTGTGAGTAACGACCTAGATGCACTATATGGTAGATGTTGGTGTTGGGACCGATAGAGCGGATGATGGTGAAACTGACTCGTATTAGAGACAACCCTTTGATGGCAACGATGCTGGGTGAGGGGGGGGGAGTAGTGTTGGAAAATATGCACACTTTTCTCAGCTGCGAGAATTTGTGAGTTTGAAGTCCAACGCCTACTACGACAACACGGCTTAGTTAGACTCGCATCGCTGCACATTAGGTCTCGAGTGATCAGTTTCAGCCGTTTAAATTGCGTCTACTTTCATCATGCCAATGAGTTTTTTCCACAGGAGTTTTTGAAGAGAATTGCCGTAGAAATGTGCAAAAATCTAGGAGAATTTCCAGAAATTTCCTCAGAATTTTCACATTGCTATCAACACATGTGGTTGAGTATATGTATATTTTCCAACACTGATCGAGAGTGAGATTGTATATGCACATGGTCAACTACATGTGTTGGTGAAATTTTGGTACACTTCTACCCAAAATAATATGTGGATTTTCATAATGTAGTTTTGGAAATTTACGAGCTCAGTCGAGGAAACCAAACATTCATTCCCACACTGAAATTAAAGCCTTACTCGTTTTATTTATTCAACCCATCCCTCGTGTCCTTCCCGCACCACCTCACTCGGAGAGAGGGAAACGGGAGAGGGGTGGCCACTAGATGCGGTCGCCCCTCTCGTGCCGACGTCCCCATCTATTTATTCCCACACTGAATCCGTCACGCGCCACGAGCTTTATTGCTACACTGAGCTGGTTAGGTGACGAGGAATTTAGAAAAGAAGAAACGCTGAAGGCTAAAGAGGTTGCAAGGCAATCGCGAAAAGGTCTGTCGAAAATGTGGGACATTGTTACAGTGAGTGGCTCCCCCGGGCGGGGGCGGCGATTTTACGGTTTTTGTATCAGTTTCAAAATGCGAAGACTAGTGATTCGAGTCACGAGTAAAGAGGAGAGCTCATTTGATGAATAGGTGATGTTTTATTGTAGGCCTCTGGAAACGGTGATGTTGGAGAAAACTATTATAAAAATCGGCAGTTTACTAGCCTTGGGATTCGGCGAAGCTGGTGCTGAAATCATCGGAAAAAATATGCAGGTGAGCTGAATCTATTCGTGAGTGTTTTCTAATACTCCCAGCTAGAGTATTGGAAATTTTTCATTCTTTATCTTGACAGGCCGCAGAAAGGTCGGCCGGGGTGAATGCGATGATTCCGGGGAAAAAAGTAGATGCAGTTTTTGGGTTTTGCGACATACGCAATTTCACGGACGCAACTGAGGTGTTGAACGACAAAGTTATGGTTTTTGTAAACCAGGTGAGAGCGGCTGGCGAGGGTATTTTGAAAGAGTTTGTAAATGTATTCAGATTGGAAAAATTGTGCATGGAATTGTGGATGAATTTCACGGCGCTGCAAATAAGAACATCGGCGATGCGTTTTTGGTGAGGAAGTTGGTAGTGGTTGCTGAGGAGACGTTTGCTGTTCAGTTGGTGTGGCGCTTACCCGAGGACGATGCTGAGCTTAGGAAAAAAATGTGCGACATGGCGGTGATGTCTTTTGTTAAGGTGAGCTGGGAAAATGCACATGGTCAACTACATGTATGTGTTGGTGACAATATGAAAATTGTGATGAAATTTTTTATCGGCTTCGGAACACTTTTAAAACACGTAGGACCTATTCTTCCAAATATGTATAGTGTGTTCGATTTTGATAGTCCAACCGGAGACGAGTGCATATCATTTCCAATGCGCATAATTTCGCAAACAAACCTTCACATAATAAGGCTGATTAGATTTGAGAACTAAATAAATAGCCGATAGCTCTATATCGATCACCGTTTCACTTGTGGGGGTGTCGGAGTGATAGACCCACCTGTTTGGAGTATCAAAATCGAACACACTGTAATGAGGAAAAATATGAAAATTGTGATGAAATTTTTATGGGTTTTTTGAACCCTTCTGAGGAAAGCGAAGATATATTCTTCCAAAATCGCATATAGGTGGTAGCCGCAGTAAACAAGAGTCCAGTTCTGTACGAGTACAGAGAGCATCCAGGACTGCGAACGCGACTAGAGAACTATCGGTAAGCTCTGGAGATGATGTTGTTGTTGCTGCTGCTTCCCTGCAGAGTCCGCATGGGATTTGGTATGCATTGTGGATGGGCGATCGAAGGGGCGATTGGGTCTGAGTTTAAGATAGATGCCAGTTATCTGTCCCCTAACGTTAATCTGGCCGGCTCGCTCGAGGCTGCTACCAAGGAATACGGGGTGAGTGGTGTTGTAGAGTCTGTTTAGTGTAATGGGGCCGATTCCTGTTTGGGAAGCGTAAGGTCTCCTGTTCGAATCTTGGGGGGGGGGAGTTCAATTGTAATTATTTTTGGAAGAGGAAATCATCCAGAAACCTATAATGTTCCCGAGGAGAACTTGTTTTGAATTTTCCAAATTTTTCGATCAGTTTCCCATGTGAATGTCATCACATTGGTAACATTTTTCCCAGTGCTATCAAACCCTAGGGAATGCCATTTCTGCAACCTGTCTTGGAATGCCACAGTTATCTGCATCATCGTATATCGAAATTTCTCTGATGTAGTTTGCATATTTACTCTCAGGTTTGTATGCTTTTCTCGGGAGCTGTGGTGGAGTCTTGTAACGAGAGTGTTCAGGAGTAGCAAAAAAAACGAAAAAAATTCCTTCTTGATTTTTTTTCGTGTCAGTAATTGCCGTTTGATTGATCGAGTTATGATCAATGGCTCCAGCATGGGCCTATACACTCTTGATATCGTCTATGAAGACCTCCCAGTGGTGGGAATCACATGTACTAGCCATTTCCCAGTGTAGTTATTGCACATAGTGTTCTCCTCAGCTGCTAAGGCGAGTGGGGAGAATGGCGCCTCGAGTCCTCAGCGGTGAGCTCTTCTTGCCTTGGGGAACTTGGGTATGTTTTTGGTAGTAGATCTCGAGCACGACAAGGGCGAGCGACTCGGAAGGCTAACAAGTTGTTGTCGTCGTATTGTGTTGGAGATCTGTTCGAAAGCGACGCGGATATCGTACAGATGCGTAAGGTCTTCACTGAAGAGTTTTTTGACAAGTTCCGAATGGCACTAAGGTAGCACATTTCCGGATGAAGTTGGTGAGTTGCATGGTAATCTGCACAGGAACTATGAGTCGGGCGAGTGGGAGGTGGCGTACTCTATGTTCAACATTACCGAGCAGATGCTTGCCTCGGAAGGGTATGTTGACGGGCCTAGTGCCTCATTGAAGAGGTGCTAAAGTGAGTCGAAGTGGCAGCGTATGATAGTTGCTTATCGAGGTACATGAAGCGGTATGATAAGAAGGCCCCTGCTACGTGGAGTGGTGCTAGGGAGCTTCCATGATTATTGTTGTTGTTATTGTTATCGCTAATGGGTGATTCGTAGTGTAGACATGTGAAGGTATTCACCACTTTGTTGTATCATCATCACTCTTGCGTTAACAGTAGTTATACGGAATTTGTTATGGCATGCCCCTTGGTTGATGACATTGAAAGTTAAAAGAGCATTGACAAACGGGTAATTCGTAGTACCGCCGCTTTTCGTAACGGAGGAAGATCTTCCCATATCATGTATAGTGCGCGTTGATCCGGTATTTGGGAACATGTCTGTTCGGCTGTTGCCCTCTAGATCTGGACTATCGCTTTTAAACTACTTGCCAATTGAATTGTGTGTCGATGCAGCCTAGTGGTAGAGCGGCTGCTTGAAGATGAGTAGGTTGTCGGTTCGAACCCTGGCAAGGTCTTTTGTTGGGTTATTAAGTGACAAGCAGTTCGATGTTGGTAGCCGCCGCATTCTAGCATTTTATTCAAACGCCGAGTTTTCCCTGTACTAGGCCGCCGCCTCACTTGCCCATCGTTACTCTACTCGTATAGAGATTCCGTGTGCTCGCAAGCAACCCCCCAATGTCCTTGGATATACCTCTGGTCGTGTCAGGGAAAGCCTCCACATTCAAACGACCGTTACTCGGAAATTTTGAACTGACATATCCCCAACACTTCCATGGCGTCGCTTATAGGTCTCTATCAGCCTACATTGATGGCGACTTCTATCAACGATATCGTACATAAAGAATCGTCGATTCAGTCAGATTACCCCAAGTCACTGCCCTCGTTATTCTCCTCAAGGCCTCTCCATATGCTAATCAGTTCACTTTACCAGCCAAAAAAGAGAGATGGAAAGAGAGTTACATACAAGAGAACAGCTTGCGTTGCACACAAGGGGAGCGGTAGTAATGTTCATCACACAACCGTCCGGGTTACTCACTCAAGCCAATAACAGAGCATTTCAAGAGGACGAATCGAAGGGAGCTCCCCCGCCCATTCTAAACCATTTAAGCTACCCCTTATTAAAGCAATACCATAAAACACTCAACACTACGAAGATTCTCCAGAAGCAAGCAAGAGTTCCGTTTCAACCACCCGAATCGATCAAGGCTTGGTTTAAGCAACGATCTTCCTGGTGTAGATGAGAGCACGAGAGTGAGGTACTCCGACCCGCGAGATCTGACCAGTACTCTCCAACATACGGAGGGCTTGACGAGCCAAAGAGCCGTTGACCTGCAAAATGGATATCATCAACAGCAAGAAGATTATTATCAACCCTACCTTGATACGCTCAGAAACGATAGCAGGGGTGATCAGCTTGGCCTTGGGGATCTCCTTCTGGAGCTTAGCAACAGTTGCCTTATCCCAGCAGACAGCGTTATTCAGCTTCTCTTGCACCTATACCATATCAATCAGCACGATTTGAGAGAAATGTGGTATTACCTTTCCCTTAGACCACTTCTTCTTCTTGCCCTTGCCACCGGCCATAGCGGCCTTAGCCTTGGCCTCCTTTGACTTTTGAATCTTAGGTCCCATACTGACGACGAAACAGACCTGCTTGCGATGCACCGAGTGTGAATGCCAAATTAGCTGTACACAAATCGATCGCTTGGGCGTCCGCTTTTTACATTCATCAGCACAGCGGAGCGCTGCAGCCTTTCATAGCAGGTGTATTTAGAGGAAAGTCGCAGTAGAAGACTTCGCGCTCAGCAACAAGTGCCAAAACGATGAAAGGTTCGAAGCAGTCTCTTGTGAAGGCCGAGCTACGTTCGTACGCAAACTCAATGAGCGGAGCGAAGCGATTCTTTTCAATGGCATAATAATGATAATCGACTTTAATCGGTTGTGAAGAACATCGAACACAGTGTGATGTCTATGCTTTACAGCTTGGCATTTCGTAAACTGCCTTTCCATATGGACTAGTCGGCAACTTAATAATAAGTTATTATTGAGTTGCCGATGAGTCCATTACTAACAACATCAACGGTGATAGTAGCAAATCGACTTAATACTATCAACGAATGCCGACAGTGTGGTTTACTAGGACGAACCTAGTTATACGAGAAATCGATTATCGAACTACATTTCACATTTTCATCTCCGCATCGAACTGACTTGACAAACGCTTTCATGAGAGTTAACGTAAACTTCGGTGTCGCTTCCACATGCCCCTGAGGTGGTTAAATTACAAAATACAGAAAATAACGACAATATTCAATGAGGTTTGTCGTTCACTCTCAGCAGTTCGGGTTTCTGGTTGCCTTTGGTTACAGCTTTCACCCGTATAACAGTTCGGGTTTCTAGTTGCCTTAGGTGACAGCTTTCACCTGTATAACAGTTCGGGTTTCTGGTTGCCTTTGATTACAGATTTCACCCGTATAACAGTTCGGGTTTCTGGTTGCCTTGTCCGGTTTCGGGTTTACAATTCAATTTGTCTTCCTTGGATGTTGTACGACACCCCTCTGACGTTGTTTCCTTTTCTCGTGGAACTTTTATAATCTACATACCCTCACTCACGTAACTCAACAATAGTAACAGATGAAAATATTAGAAAATGAATTCATCCCCTTCCCTCGTCTTCTCTTGTTGGAGTTCCTCGACACGTTTCCGTCTGAGGATAGAAAATATATATACCCCCGATAATAACAATGGAGTTTCACCACCCTAGTGATATGAAAAACATATTTCACGACTACTGCATATCACCGCGAAAATCGCCTCTTTCACCACTTCACGTAAAACAGGTCGTGAAACTCCGCTGATGAAAACGCATTTCCTGAATTTTCTCTCAAAACTTTCACCTTGTCACCAACACATATTTTCCCCATCCTTTCGGGGGGAATATACACATGGTCAGCTACATACGTTGGTGACAATATGAAAACTCTGAGAAATTCTCTGTCTCACTAAACTAGTGAGAGAACTGCTAAGCTCAGATGAATAAAGCGAAGATATATTCCTCTAACACTGGCCGCGCTATTCTTACCGGTTTCTCTCCATCTCGATCCTCCTCAGCTCACGGACTCGTTCTTCTCTCTAAAACAACAAAAACATAATTGGGTGAAAAATTCACTTATCGGATTTTTTTACCCGACTTGCCGCTTCTGCTGCCAAACGTTGTTGCTCTTCCTTTGCCCGACGACTACAAAACATGACATTCCTCTCCCCTCAAACTCCTTACTACACCTACGCGTTGTCCTCCATAATTTTCTCGAGCTCATCACTACTACGTTGTTTTTCTTCCAACTTGGATTTAAATTCAGCAATCAACTGCCGTTTTTCAGAGGCGATCTCGAGCACCTACCACACGCGATATCTAAAACGCTCAATTCCTATTAGATAGTGTAGTGGTGGTGGTGACGACGACATACAACAGAGTCGCCTCGGTGAAAGAACATAACGGTAAAGGTTGCATATTATCATCTACGAGAGGCGTTTAGAATTGATAAGTGGGAAGCAACGCGTAGAAGCGACATGTGCTGAAATATGCATGTAATAAGAATTTGTGGAAGAATTCGTTGAAGATGTGTTTTTTCGCGCACGATTATATCCATCTAGCTCGAAAGTATTAATTCTTCCCCCAACTGCATCGATTTTTAAATCTACTTTTTTACACCCAAAATTCTTATATATACCTCCGAAACTGAAATCGAGAAGTCGCGCATATCAAACTCTAGAAAATTACTTTTCTGGAATATATGCTTTGTTTCCTCAGCTGAGCTCAGGAGTTCATCACTTCTAAAGAATTTCTCATAATTTTCATATCGTCACCAACACATGTAGTTGACCATGTGCATTCCTTCTCACACTGGGGAAAATACTCCACTGATGCAAAATGATGACTCATCGACAAAAAATCAAAGACTCTCGAGCAAAATTATACCGCAACAAGAGGCGCTTTCGCGTTGTGCGTGCGTGCGTGCAGATTTATTCTGGCTAGACTACGGAGCGTGGGAGGCTTTCAGATATATTAGAGGACTCCTCTATATGCGGAGGTGTTGGAAAAAATCAGAAAACTCGATTATGCGAACAGCTCGAAGAGATATGCACGAAAAACGTTAATGACGGAGAAATGTCTTACCCGGGGATCGAACCGGGGACCTATGTAAATTCATTGATTGAGTCCACGATGTGGACTCAGTGAGCTCCGCCCCTTCGTCACGAAGGCCTAGTATAGATAGTGAGAGTCGCGTCTCGGTTTACGAATCTCCCTTTCACATTAAAATTTCCACGAATTCCCTCATACAACTTTCTCAAGAGCTTTCGCCCTCTCCTTCTGCTTCTCTGCATCCAATCGCTTCTTAAAATCGTCACTCGCCACGAAATTATCCAACCTCTTTTTGACCTCGCTCTCTACTCTAAACTTTCACACGATATCATATATATCACAAAAAGTCCGAATCTACCTTTGCTTTTCGTCGACTTCAATATTCTTATCTTCAATTCTCGGCAGCGCTGAGATTGGCCCTGAAAGTCCCAACAAAGTCACAATTGATTTATAAAAAAGCCCCTCCTAGGAATCGAACCCACCTCCTACCCCTTCTATGCCGATTCTCATCCGAGTCCTTTGCCCAGTCCCTGATCATAGAA